TAATTACATTTTATCCTTTTTGTGTTTACATGCTGAATGCTAAAGACAAGATTTCTTTAACTGATACTGTATGACATAGGTGCATTATCATTCGACATATCACAGCAGTAATGTGATAAGTCATACTGACCCATAAGTCTGCAAAACAGGTAAATAGAGACATCTTGGACTAAAGAGAGTTTCTGTTGGCTTGCAAAAAAGAGATAAATGTTGCATTTACAGAAGAAATACATTCACAATTCAGAGTCTTTTCGGGATTCAAAATTGTAAATCGTCAAAGAATAATAAGGATAGTGACAGACAGTGGTGAGTTGCTAACTGCTTTACTACGGATTCGCTCGTGCTCACATGTGTGCTCGCACATGCGCAGAAGCATCCAGGTGGGTGGGCGGAGCCTCCCACCGCCACCGTTACCGGTTCAGCTGAACCGGGCCGAACTGGCAGCAACCCACCACTGGTAGCAGAGATGACTCTTCTCTCATATATTAGTTTTACCTTTTAAGTTGCATTACTGAAATAAATGAACTTTTGCACGATATTCTAATTTTTCAAGTTTCACCTATAAACTAGTCCCTCAATTCTTGCACTGATCCCAACACATCTTACCAACTTCATATAATTCAGATCACTTTCTTCATACTACCTAATAAAGTCCAGAATATTCTACTTATATTTTGCCCTTCTATCCTCCTCTATAGTCAGAATGGCACAAGAATAAAGCTTGGACAAGTAGGAAAGATACCATTTAGATGATGCAAGCTGCAGGACTACTTATTCTGTCTCTTCTTTTTCCCCAAGCTGACCAAAGAATATAAAAAGCATGGGGAAAAGAGAATTTGTATAGAAAAATATAGACGTATTTGATAATCAGGGGTGCACTTCAAAGCCTTACAGCATAGAGGTAGCAGATTTTATTTTCTAATTGCTGCACCTGATACTTTTTCCTGTCCAATAATAATGTACTTTGTAAATCATTATCTTTGAACATGTACATTAAGGGACAAGGAATGTAACTATAAAGTTTATCTCTTTCTTATGATGGTAAGTAACAAGCCACAAGGGGTAAGCAACTTGTCAAGATCACCAAACCTTAATTTAGCAGTCTGTTATGCAAAGAAATGTTACAGCATTTTTTTGCAGATTTATTTCAAAACTGCTACCAAGGGACAGTGAAAATTACACCTTAACATGTCAACGCATATTCTGGAATTAATATCTGCCAAAGAAATGGGTGAAATGGATGCTTATCCATTCCCATTTTTTTCCTATAGCCCAAACCTCATACATAGTTATTAATCTCAAGAGACAGTGTAAATTAAAGTAGGATAAGCATAACATGTGGGACACTTACTGATAAAATAATCAGTATTTGAGCATTTACTTTACAAAATACTGTTCTGCAGAAATCTTTATTACCACAGTCCATTTTAAGAACATATAAATTATCAAAGAATCTCTAAGGCCAAGACATGTTATAATATCAACCAGTATTGTTTTTTTTTCTATTTTCTGGTCAAGGCTGATGCTTAATTCATTTGAAAACATATGTATTTGAATGTATTTTTACTTTTGTGCCTGCTCGTCCAACAATCTTAGTAGCTGCAAAATTGAATGTATGTCCTTGTTCACTGCAGTGTGAGGCCAACAATGAGTTCAGGTCTCCTTGTCTGACTGCTCACTTGTTTTCCTGCAATCTGGTGACTACCTTCCTCCCCATCTGTCCTACATAGTCATAGGGGCAATCCATGCAGGGGATCCAGTAGATTACATTGGAAGTATCTCCCACCTCCAATAGTCACAATGCACAATTTGCCCTTGTATGGTAGCCTCTGGGCGGTGTGTGATGCCCACTTGCAGATCTCGGAAGCTGCGTTCTATAGCTTCTGGAATGTTTTAGATGTATGGCAGGGTGTGCCATGTGGTTGGTCTTATACCTTGTTTCTTCCTTTCTCTCCCCACCATGTTGTGCAGACATCTGGTGACAAATGATTGTGGGTACCCATTCTGCCTGAATTGTTCACGTAGGTACCTGCTCTCCAGCTGTTTGGCTTGCTGGGTACTGCAGTGGGTTCTCACCCTACCATATAGTGTTCTGATGCAAGTCTTTTTGTGTGACAGCGGATGGTTGCTGTTGAAATTCAGAATGTGTGGAGTGTTGGTGGCCTTGTGATAAACTGTGATTTCTAGGCTTCTAAATACCACACAGAACAGTCCAAAGTGCACACTCTGGTAGAGAGAAGTTCCCTGAAGATGAGCTCCAGCATGAGTCCAAAAGCTTGTAAGACAAAACCTCTGGTTCCAGTGACCAACCCAGATTGGATCCTGCAGTATGAATACTGTAATATCTTATGAAAGTATTCCAGAATTTTGACTTAGCTTTTTAGGGAAGGAACAATCATACTGTATACAAATGCTAATGTTAAAGATTATTGCATTAGCAAAACAAATAAGCTGTT